CCTCTTCCTCATGACTCGCAACAGAAAGGACATCTGTCGGGACGCAACGAGTATGGAGAGACGTAATTCTCCAGCTGTCGACTTTGAGTTGTTGAATTTGATGGCAGGTGGGAGGAGGAGTGGGAGACAGCTCCACTAAATGCCTTTGATGCCGAGACTGGTTCGATCCCCTTCGTTCCTCCTCGTCCTCGTCCTCGTTCTTGGATGATGATGATGGAGATGAGGATGAGGATGATGATGATGATGATGATGATTGGACGATCATCATCACCACCACCACCATCATCCTCATCTCCATCATGTGCACTAGCATTTCCATCGTTTCCATCATCACCATCGCTACTATCACGTTATCGTTCTCTCACTTCAATCACCAAGCACTCTTCAACCTTTTTCTCGTTTCTCTTGTAAGTTTTCTGCAGGCCTTCAGAAGCAAACGTCCTGCGGGCAGAAGAGCGGGGTTGATCGATCAGGCAAGTTACTCGTTCACTCTTCTCTCGCTCCTCCTTCCCTTCGTGCGTCCCTTTTGATCCTTTTCCTTCTCAACCTCCTTGTCCTCCTCCTCCTATTCCTCCGGTGATTCACCACTTTTTGATCCTCCTCCGCCTCTCTCGCCCGCAGTATTTCCCCTTCAATTCCTCTCCTTGCTCTCTTCGCTTTCACTTCTTTCGCTGGTCGCTCACTCTCACTCTCAGGAATGCGCTGGTCGGAGACTTGGGGCAAGGACGACATCTATGGAAGGTGAACAGGAGGGGCCGAATCGATAGAGCTCAAGTGTAGAAAGTTGAATGTAGGAGAACAGGGCAGGGAGGAAAGAAGGAGGGGGCAGCAAGCAGCAAGCAGCAGCAGCAGCAGCAACAACAACAACAGCCGATGACGGGAGCGGCAGGTGGGGGACGAGGAGCGAGGAGCGAGTCGACGGGTCCTCATGGACGGAGCACTGGGGGGCGAACTTTGAAGGAGACCTCTGGTGCGAGAAGTGGGGTGAGTGGGGCCGAGCTGAAGATGAGCTGGGGGCTGATAGGAGAGTTGACAGGGGTGAACAAGCTGGGACTGGGTGTGAGTGAAGAGTGGGGCTGGAAGTGTGGACAGAAGAATGTCCGGATAGGACAAGTACTGCTTCCTCCTCCTCCTCCTCCTCCTCCTCCTCCTCCTCTTCCTCCCCGCCCGCCCCCATCGTCCTCCTCATACTCATACTCATACTCATACTCAATACTCATACTCATACTCATACTCATACTCATACTCAATACTCATACTCATACTCATACTCATACTCATACTCATACTCATACTCATACTCATACTCATACTCATACTCATACTCATACATCAGTACCACGCCCACTGCCTCCACAACCGCCACCTCTTCCTCCTCTCTCTCCCTTTTGCCGTTTCTCCCTGCCCCCTCCGTCGCTTCTTTTGTCCTTCGTCGCCCTCCTGACATGTTGCGCAGGAGATGGATGGAGTGAAGAACGAGGAGGAAGGCAAGGTGGAGACTTGGACAGAGTAAGAACATGTTGCATGCTCCTCTCCCAGTGACCGATTCTCCTCCTCCTCCTCCTCCTCCTCCTCCTCCTCCTCCTCCTCCTCCTCCTCCTCCTCCCCTTCGTCCCTCTTGTCCACTTTCCTCTCCCAGGACCTGGTGCAAGACGTTTGAGGCAGACGGAAGATTGGCAAGGACGCACGCGGAGAAACACGGGGACAACGGCTTCGGGGACAAGTGAGAGGAGCAGGAGAGGGGAGGAGGAGGTTGGGGAGGAGGAGGAGGAGTAGGAGTAGTATTAGTAGGG